AATCCGCATACAGTAACTGCAGGCTAAGAGGAAAAAAATACAACAGCTGGCACACATATTCAAGTATCATTAAAGGGGAGACCACTGGGGGCAGGGTGGTAGTGGTCTGCCCTTGGCATGGCCCTGACAGATGGGTGTGACTGGAAGAAAATAGAAGCAGCATTTGGACTGGAAAGACTGGCTCCCACAACAGAGAGAGACAGGTGTGGCCTTGCTTCGGAGGGGGGCAGGGAGACGCAGCAATAGTGGAATGTGGGAAGAAATGGTGGCAGGGTATTTGATCATCATCTCTTGTTCACGAATCGCTTCACTTGTATGGACATGCATTCAAAACACAAAGTTTCCCACAGTTCTCCGCCATTTCTTGGCAAATTACAACTCTGGGTGAAATAAATGTAAGATTGGAGTTATGTGCACATCATTACATGCGTGCAGAGCCACTGGAAAACAGCGTTTGTGGAACAGTGATGTCTGCACACCAACTCCAAAGTTAAGCTTAAACAGATGTTTTGATGCTATTTTGGATATTTGTCTGGTCAAAATATGACTTGAGGCGATTACGACAAAACAAAAATATGTTGACTTCAGTGAGGAATCATGCACACTATAGGTAATGCTACTTTAGAAGCTATGTGAAGTCTTACTTTCTTTAACTATAGAAGTCACAGTTTTATTTCTGTGAGGTGGATTAAACAGGACAAGACAGTCTGAAATAAACTAAATTTTACAACAGGCTCAACAACTTAAGTTAAATACTTCTAAGAAAATGTTGATAACTTGTAGAATTAGATTACGATAACATCTTATGATCTTACTAGCATATACCACATAGCATCTTTTCAAACCTTCCTAGCAGTATATAACAACAACTCTTGATGGTTAAATGACGTAAATTAATACAATTTAGACCTGAATAAGGAGCAGAAAATGATGGATTGAGTAGTGACACTGTTAGAAGCAAGGCAGCCCCAACAGCCTACAATCAAATGCAAAAAAATATAGCTAATAGTACTACCTATGACAATATTAACACTTTTTGAAATCCAATCTAAAAATGTATTTTTTTCCCTTTTTAACCTTATTGAGGACATTGATTTCAGTGCCTGTTGAGATTTACCAACACATGCATATACCCTGTAGAAACAGGCTTTAACTCGACAGGTCTCTCCATTGCTCAGCAAGCCAAATAAAGTTTGGTGTTATCTTTACCTCTGCCTCAGAGTCAGCTTGTGGTGGAACACTACGGGGGGTGTCGTAGATGCCATCATCATCCCCAAGAGCACACGGGACTGGATGCTGCCATCTGCCACTGGGAGGGGTATCATACACCTAACAAGGCAACAGAAGATAAAATCTAAATATGAATTCAGATTTGCAAGGATTTTAATGTGACACTATAATGTCCCAAAATGTCTGCTGTAAACTTTGAAAGCTACCCAGAGGCTGATTACTGTCAAAGTCATATAAAGTAGTAAAAAAAGAATTCTTACAGGAAATGCCAGTGATGTCAACTTCTCCTACATGTGCAGCAACGTCTTATTAAACCAACTTATTCAACATTTTTTACAAGCCTTAGTAAACCTTATACTATTTTCCCCAAACATGCCAGTTATTAATTACTAATTCAAAGATCCAAGTTCCATACCTGGTCATCCACAGGATCTGTGTAATCCTGATTTTCTCCCTTTTTGTTCTGCACATTGTTGCTCTTCTCCAGACCATTACTTGTTCTGTCTTCCTTACTCTGAGGCGTTCCCCTCTGTTTGTCCCCTTCAGGGTGCAGGTTTGCAGAATTCACCTGAGCAGTGGTTTTGGGGCCACAGTTAGAGTCAACTGATAATGGTGCTGTTTGTTGTACATCTTTCCTGGTGACTCCCCTCACTGGAGGTGCTGGTGGAGGAGGCTTACGAGCAAAATTCGGTGACCCAGGACCCCTGACCTGTCCTCCTCTCATCAGCAAAGGGGACCCCCGGTGACTGGCCAAGCCAGGCTTGCCCCTGGAAACAACAGAGTTGGGTGAAACGCCCTTGAGCAAGGGTCGCGGAGATGCTTGGGCAGGGGATAACTGAGCTGGGTGGTGATGAGCCAGAACTGTAGCTGGTGTCCTATGAAGGTTTGCTCCCACAGGGGTGGGTGTTTGGTACATCCCAGGTGTGTCCTGGCTCACTTTGGACTGAGGGGTACCAGGAGTTCCACTGATTATAGAGGGCCCATTAGAACAGAAAGCATTAGCCACAGCTCCTCCTGTTGGGGATTGGTAAACATCGTCACCTGCGAGTGGTGTACCCTTGGGCACCAAGTAACAGTCATCCGAGTGTCCTGTTGCTAGTGTTTCTCTCGGGACAAGATATGTAGTGTCCTCTGGTTCGTCAGACGCCCTTGGCACTCCACTAGGGGCAAGGTACACAGACTCTGAAGCCATGACAACTCCCGGCTGCCTGGCATGCTGAGCTGCTGAAGGCATGGGACTTGCTGGACTCTGATAAAGTGTTCCTGTCATTTCTGTGCCTCGACCCCTGAGAGAGGGTGAGCGTGGACGCCCCGCCACCCCAATATCCCAGTCAGGTCTGGGCCGGGTGCCAGAGCTAGAGTGTGAGCGCGGGCGCCCACCCTCGACTCTGCGTAGCTCCCCAGGCCTCGAGGCAGCTCCCCCTACTCGTGCCTCACCCGCAACTGGTGGAGAGCGATATACTCCATCTATGTCGTCTGTACTATTGCTGACAGCAGTCCGGGCCAGCGGGGGACCAGGCGACAGGTAGACAGAGTCTTCGTTTAGACCACGACGGGGGTCTGAGCCTGGGGGTGGGGCAGTCTGGAGGAGTCGAAGGCGGTTGGCTGGGGCAATGCCCTGTCTGCCATGCAGGGAGCAGAGCCACCAGCCCGGCCCGCCACTCTTCTCCTGTTCAAGAACCATCAGGATGTCCCCCTTCCGGAAAGCCAGCTCCTCTTGGCTTTCTGCTGTGTTGTCAAACAGCGCTTTTGCCAATACCGTCTGGGAGAGAGGAAGAAACAAAAGTAGAAATCAACAACACGGTCACACCCATTCAGTAATTTACATAGTGAATCACCAAATGGTCAAATGAAAGTAGGTTTTAATCAACAGCCTAAATTCACACCCGCTTGTGTGTCACATCTGCAAACCACAAACAAGCAAGTACATTGACAAGGCAGTGCCAAGTCATGAGTATAAAAAGGCCGATTGTTTAGAGCTGTTGAATGAAGAGTGAATAGGAGTGAATAGGGAAGATCTCGTAAAATATCAGCGTGACAGACAGAAGGACAGGAGTAGGATTAGTGAACAAAAAAGATTGAAAATGCAAAAGCAAGCATCCTGAGTAAGTCAAAATTCACAGCTGTGTCAGTAATCACGAAGAAGAGAGAAAGAGGGGCACAGTCAGGGAGGATCAATGATCAAATGGACACAAGGGCTTAATGGTAATGAGCAGGATAAGAGGGAGGGGGAGGGGATGAGAGGCACATCTGTCCCTTGCTGTTTAGAGTTTAATTGCCAACCCAAAGCCAAAGAGTCAGGCCCCCTTTCATTTTCTAAACCAACCCCCTGGGGACAACTAGGCTCCACCGAGCCATGTGGGACCCGCTAAGGACAGTAATGGAGGCAATGAGGATCCTGATAACACATCGTAAAATAACACACAAAAGTAAAAACGTGCCCAGCAGATTTTTTAAAAGTTACTTTTCATTACAGTCGCCCCTCATTGTGATACCACCACAAGAGCAGATTCATACATACAAAGAGGTAAATACTGTACTCACTGAGACAGACATTGTTGTTCGATTATCAGCTATGTCTCTGAGAAACTATGACTCAAGGCTCCTGATCAATCGGGTCATCCATCGAGATCGACTGTGGTTCTCACAGGCGTGTTGGTCGGCAGAGAGACTCGGTGCCGAGGCACAGCTGGCTCTGTTCTGGACACATCTCAAGGGCTGGGTGTCTCGTCTTCATTGGGATCCTTTAATCCAGGCAGAGACGCTTCACTTCACGTGTTCCTTGAGTCACTGAAAACGCAACGAGGGCGTTACTGCACCGTTAGTGAACCTCAACTCATACGTTAGCAGACACATGAGAAATGGAAGGTAGACTGGCAACACCTGTCTGGGCTTTCCACGCCCAGGAACGTTACGTTAAAAGCAGCCCGTTCTGGAGCGCTAGTGTTAGCTTAGCATTGTATATAAATAAGTAGTGTGCACTCGCTAGCAAAGATACTAATAATACCTGTGTATGTAACTGTTACCTCGGTTAGACGGTAATTCACTTAAACATGAGCTAGTAAAAATAAGGCGAGCTGTGTTATCGCGGCCTAGCTACTACTGATGTTAGCTAACGTTGTGTTAGGTTATCTACATCGTCCTTCGCCGCTACCGTTAGCGTTCACTTCAAAACAACAATAGCACCGCCGCATAAAACCACTGAAGTCGAGTTGTTCATTAACCAGGGTTCCTTATAAAATAATTACCTTCCGTTTTTCTTATCGCCTGTTAAACTTCCCAGCGGCGTACAGTCTATAAAATCACTTCTTTTCAGGCGTGAAAATCTGTGGCCATCGGCGTTCAATCATCTTCGATGACAACAAAATTCTCTCCGCCTCCTCAGAGCTTTGGTTATTTCGCTGATCTAAAAGCGCAGCATGACTGGGAGAGTCAGGGTTTAGACGGATCCAGTTACTGTGAGATCGAGTGGTTAGCCGCAGCCCGGAATACACGGCTCGTGTGATTGGCTCATTCTGGCGGGTTGCGTTCAGGGACCTCAGTTAACAAATCTGTAAATGCTGAATAAAATATATGGGCACTGCACTACTACTACTACGATTTTCGGTCTTCATAGCAAAATGTGCTGATTCTGTTATTGAAAAACATGGTCATTAGAGTGGAAACGGCTGTAGCATTGAGTTACAAAGCAGCCAAATGAAAACGATAGTTTGATAAAGACTTTTATTTTGACAGCGGGACGTTTACCAGGAAACCACTGACTGTAGTTCCACATAAGTCATCGGTAGTCAAAGTCCAGGCAACAGACTTGAAGAGTCTTATCAAATTCTGCCTTAGTACAACTTCATGTTCAGTTTTGCATGAGCTGCAGGGTGAGACAATGCTCTTAAACACATTTATACACTCTACACAATGTATGATTCTGCATGTATGCATAAACTCGAGATCAGTTGTCAGAGTAAACCTTTGTAAATACTGCTGAATTATTTTCTCATTGCTGTCACTACACCATGTATCTGTAAGTGTGTGATGAGTTCAAGTCTTCGTTCAATTTGTATAACTCAGGATTCAGTATGTTTACTTGTGCAGTCCAGATGACCTTTACCCTACTTAACCAGTGTTTTCATAAAAATATTCTGTTCACAGGTGATGTTGAGGTCTGTATTTAGGTGCCTTAGGACCAATCCTGTTGCTTGCCACAGAAATATGTCTCAAAGCAGTCTAGCTGGGAAGGTAGCCATCGTCACTGCCTCCACAGATGGGTAAGAATCACCTTACTGACCCCGGATTGTTTGTGTCACTCTTAAATGCAGAATGGACTATACATGGCATGCAGTGCAATATTTGCTCATTTGTATACAATATGTTTGAGAATGATAGGGAAACCGCCAAACTCTTGTCGTAAAGTCACCTATCAGTCCAGTAGAGAAATCCTCTGTCATGGTGTTTTCTCAATCTCTCCAGGATTGGCCTGGCTGCAGCTCAGGCGCTGGGCAAGAGAGGGGCCCATGTGGTTGTGAGCAGCCGGCGGCAGGCCAACGTGGACAAGGCTGTAGCGCTGCTGCAGAGCCAGAGCATCCAGGTGACCGGAGCCACCTGTAATGTTGGCAAGGGAGAGGACAGAGAGAAACTAGTTAAAATGGTAAGTCCTCAGGAGTTTGGAATTATTTGATTTTCTGCATGAGGAGGTTCGAAAATGTGGTCTAACCTTCACAAAAGTTGTGTTTTTATTATACCACACATAGACATTCAGAGTTCTAGGTAGCCTCTTGGAGTTAATACCTGTCTGTTTTAGTGGAAATGATCTCAAACAAGCCTTTCATGCAGCTACAGATCAGAGCTGCTCAATGCTCCGGCGGTGGCTAAGGACCATTCTTTCCTACAAAGCAGCTCCGCCATGTTGTTGGGATATTTGATGCGAACAGCTCTGTTGAGGTCATACCAAAGGATCTCAATTAGATTAAGGTTTGGGCTCTGACTGGGCTGCTCTTGAATTCATTCTGTACTAGTTTTACGTCAGTGTACTTCAGACATTATCCTGTATCCTCAATCACTTTTGGCATCCATTTGGCCCTCGATGATGGCGAGCTGTCCAGGCTGCCTCCACCGCACTTCACCTTTGGGATGATGTTTTCTTGTTGGTATGCAGTGACCTTTTTATGCCCGTGAGTTCTTCCCAAACAATTCCACATTGGTTTCGTCAGCCCACAAACATTTTTTCCAGTAGCTTTGTGGGGTGTTAAGGTGCACTTTGGCAAACTTCAGGCACACTGTGATGTTTTTTTTGGACAAGAGTTGCTTCCTTTGTGGAATCCTGCTATGGAAAGCATGCCTGTTCAATGATTTACGTATGGTAGACTCATGAACTCAGACATTAACCAGTGCCAATGATTCCTTTAAGCTTATAGCTTTTACTCTGGGCTTGTTTTTTTTTTACTTTATTTTGACTTCTGTACTTTTGTATTCATCTTGGCTGGGTGCTGACTTCTAGGGAGGTTAGTCACAATATTTAATCGTCTCCATGAAGACTGATTAGTGTTTAATCTCTGAGATTTTGTAGTAATAGTCTCTAATGCAAACCAAACAAACTGCAATTCTTCTGAGATCTCGTTTTTGCACAACACGGTTCACGTCAGCAGATGCTTTTTGTAAATAACAAGATGCATCAAGTGATTTGGATCAGATGACTAAAGCATCTTTATCTGTCGGGGGGTCAGTGCTTCAGTGTTCATTTACCTTTATTTGTCACTTCTGTTCTATTTCATTGTGTGGTCTGTTGCAACATAACTCAGTAATGTTAGTCTGTGTTTGGACTAGACTGTGGATCAGTGTGGCGGCATCGATATCCTGGTGTCCAACGCAGCAGTCAACCCTTTCTTCGGAAACATCATGGACTCCACGGAGGCAGTGTGGGACAAGGTGCACACAGGAAACACGCTCCCAGGACTCATTTATAAACCCCATTTTCACTTTATTATTTGCTTCTGACACACAATTCTTCTTCTGTCTTTCATTTATATTAAATCAATCGTTCACTGTATCATTCTACTATTTGAAAGCATGTATTTAACATAGTTGTTTCTACATTTTTGTCTAGATCCTGGATGTAAATGTAAAATCAGCCTTCCTCATGACCAAGTTGGTGGTGCCTCATATGGAGAAAAGGGGGTGAGTGATTAAAAACTAAAAAATGACAGGTTTTCTAACAAATGGGCTCAATTTGAAATCAACTGTTTTGACGTGTCTGTATTGTTTTTTTTAGGGGGGGAAATGTAATATTTGTGTCATCTGTGGCTGGATACCAACCAATGCAGGTCAGTGAGAGTAAAACATTTATTGTAAAAGGTTTATGTTGGAACATATTCGGGAGAGCAATTACTCAAGAAGTTATTGAGAGCATTGATGTATGTAGCTCTAATAGCTGCTTGTTTTGAGAGCCCTCTAGTTTAGTTTTGCTTCGTTTCTCACCATTAAGAACCAACTCCTTACATTAAATAATGCATTGTGTAAAACAGCATGTATTATTGAAAACATTTCTTCATACACACTTGCTTTCTCTATAATTTAGTGTGTTTCAGTGGTGTTTTAATCTAGGATGATCCAAATACATTAAAGCTGTTTTTCACCCCTGGAATGATTTTAGACAAAAAAGTACAAGGACTGGTTTGAGAATATGTTTGGAGAAAAACACCATCATCCGCAGCAACCCATTTATTAATTGTAGAGGAAAAGACAGTCAGTAAGACATAAAACTGTGGACCTGAAGAAAAAAAAACAAGCCTGACACTTAACTTGGTGTGCTGTGTTTGTGTCGTTCTCGTGGACGCTGTGTCTGCAGGCGTTGGGTCCGTACAGTGTAAGTAAAACAGCCCTGCTGGGTCTAACCCGGGCTCTGGCTCCTGAACTGGGTCAGAGTAACATAAGAGTGAACTGCGTGGCCCCCGGAGTCATCAAGACCCGCTTCAGCTCTGCGGTGAGGACGCAAACACACTCAGACACTGTATTTTTCAAAAGTCTATCAAACTACTTTTGGTTAATATGTAAGTGTCTATAATTTTCTGCTTTTTTCTCCCCAGCTATGGCAAAATGAAGACATCGTGGATGACTTCAAAAGGCAGCTCAGCATTAAAAGGTGAAGTTTCTACTCACACCAGTGTGCAAATTACACCGTGGCTTCTTGTGGTCAGACACAACGGACAACGAATGAAAATATCAGGACTTCAGTATTGAAATGTTGGTCTGTTTGCAGAAGGAAATGAATTTAAGTTAGCAGAGTGCTCTTGGTTTAGCAGATGGCATCTTTTTTTTGTTTATAATAACTTGCCGCCGTGTTTCAGTGGTGATGGCAAGAACAGCAAGCAAGTGATGAATCTCCCTGCCGTCTGAATTATAGATCAATAATAGCCTTGTTTTACACATGATTGAAGTGATGGAGATAATGAAACACAACTGTATGGCAAATGTAGCAGACTGCCAGGGCAAGCTCTCCTTCGCACACACAGGAGCTTGTCACTAATGCTCTGTATTGTGCATTCATATGTGAATAATTTATGAATACAGTGTTTTACAGTTTGCATTTATCTTTCAGAATTGGAGAACCAGAGGAAATCGGAGGAGTGATCGCGTTCTTGTGCTCCGAGGAGGCTTCCTACATCACCGGGGAGACCATCACAGTGACGGGAGGGATCGGCTGTCGACTCTGAACCTCCAGTGACAGCAAAACTAATTTGCACTTAAATGTGTGGAGTTGTGTAGATAACATCTGATTCTGTTTTGACACTTTTTCTCTGACATGGTGGCACAGCACAGCCAGAATAAAGATAATATGAGAGCTATTATACGCCAATATAAGCCAGAATCCAGAGGCAAGTTTCCCTGAGCTTTCTGGCTGATATGTTCTGTGAATGTTTGTCGAGTTTTCTAATCAGAATATGAACCTTTTTTTTTTTTTTTTTTACAAATATTTTTTTTTTTTTTTTTTTACAAATAGCTTATTCTAAAAATCATCAGGGATGTGTACTCTGATTGCTGTGACACCTGCATTGCTACAGTCTGTATGATAAACTGGCATTCAGTTTCTAAATAAATGAGATTTCCATTTTTACCCTGTATTATAATTGTTGTTTAAGTACATAAATACAGCTAATTTTGACAAATCTAGCTCTGGAAATCAAAAGTAATATCAGCCAGATTTCATTATTTAAATGTCAGGCACAGTTTAAGAACATCCTTCTGCCATTTATCTGTGTAGCAAACTGGCAGTTCATGCAGGTTAAATAAAATAAAAACAATTTTCTCTGATACAAAATATGACTGCAATATCAAAAACTTTATTCATCGAGAATATTACATATTGTTTAAAATAGATTTATAGCACTGATAATCTATACATGGTTAAGCCTCTATTTACAAATGAAAACTGCATCATCACAATCTAACAAATTGCATGTCTGTTCCTGTAATTGTGACGTTACTTCAGGGCTTTCTGCCGTTAATTTTTAAACATCACACATGAATGTCTATTCCATCACCTCCGTTTGCTGCCAGTGGAGAGTAAGTTGCGTGGGCTCATTCCAGGTTTCCAGTACTCCCTCAGAGTGGGAACGTAGGTGCCGTGTTTGGTCTTGACGTAGCGCTTCATGAACAGCTGGGGGAGACAAAGTCAAGGGTTTTAAATGCATTTCAGGTGAAACCGAGACATCCACAGACTGAAGACTTCTCACCAACTCTTTTAAAGTTGCTCAGTTATATAAAATGCACATCATACAAGCACATGTAAAGTAAGTCCCTCTCTTTTGAGCATACGTACTCGGCCTTTGAAGTTCTTCGTCGCCTCATCCTCAGAATCAGCCACGTAGTCGTCACTGCTTCCCTGAAGGCCCAACATCTCTAAACATAAAAGCAAACACAGTTAAGCTAAAACTTGTCTTTTTTTTAAATCCCTGTCTTTCCTTTATGTGATGTTGAAAATCACCTGTGTTACTCTGCTGCTGTAAGGGAGAGACGCTCACACTCGGTGACACAGGATGATTCCTGTCAGGTAGAAACAATAGTTTACATAGATGATTAACGTTGACAGAAAAAAGAGAGGGACATCTTTATCTACGATCTGCTTTGAATGGGGCATTTATAATTTAAGTCTAAATACTGACATGCTGCTAAATGATAAATAGGTTCCACTTTATCGGCTCTGTGTCTCTAGCTGGACAACATGCTACACATTCATATTTTAATCACTGTTTCACAGAGGAGACAGAAAAAACAAATGAAACCAGAAACATTGATGTTTTTTTTTTTAATTCATTTGTCAAGTTAAAATCATAGTCTACAATGCTAATTAATTTCTGGCTTTAAAATGTTTAATTTTGACTTGTTATGAAGTTTGAAACACTAGTTGACCATAAAATCCATTTTCCTTTCAAGGTTCATGTAAATACAGCGGTTAAAAAAAGTTAGTCACCACAATCCAAAGAGCACATGGCCATTTTTGAAGCTAACAGCCAGATTCTTGGAATATAAACTCGACCTACTGACTAACTGTATGTCGCTTTATTCATACGATTCTTACTCTTTATCATCCAAAGCAGGAAACTTTGAGGCAAGCGTCTGACGGATGTTTGCTAGTTTCTGTGTTGGCGCTTTAACTGGTGACTTCTGATTGTGGTGTTCCTTATGTGAGGATTTTCCTGTTCTGCTGGATCCGCTGGGGCTACCAGAGGCCACTGACAGCTTTTCAATAACAACTTTGGGTTGTTTCCTCAGACAAGAGACAACAATGGAGCTGAGCGTTGGATCTTCAGGTAGATGAAGTGTTTTGACACCAACCTGGGTCACATAAGTTGCCGTGGTTTCTTTGTTACCCTCGTGTCTTGCAGCATTTGCTCCATGTTCCTCGTTCTTATTTGTTCCAGGATCATCTTTACCCTGCCTGTCCCTGCGAATCCTCTTTTTCCCAGATCTTGCAATGCTTAAAACTTCTTCTTCCTCCTCCTCAGATTCACTTTCTCTATTGTCAGGTTGCTTGCGTTTCTTTCCGCTGCTTCCATTTAAGCTCTTCTCCTCCAGCTGCTCCTGGCCCTCTTTCACTCCATGATCTTTGGATTGTTGTTTCTCTTTAATTGAAGTGAATCTTAAGCTCTCTTGATTGGCTGCATCTTTTGAGGTGGCTGGCTCATCACTTTGTAGCTTTTTTTTAGCAGCAGAGATCAAGACTGGTACATCTTCATTTGATATGAGTCCGATAACAGGTGTGATAAATGATGTTTTGTCTCTTGTCTGGATGTCATCTGACTGACGCACAGGAGATTGTCTGGCTCCTGAGTGTTGATCAGAGGGTACTCTTCCAGATGGTGGCAGAGAAAGTAAAGTCAGGATGGAGTCTCCCATGTTTGGAGGTAAGGATGCTGTAAAAAGTAAACCACAACAGTGATAACTGGAATTATTAGGAATTTGCACATACAGTTTTGCTTTTACAGTCATCACTACCAACAAACAAACTTTTCAACCTGCTGACTCCAGATGACCCAGACAGGTTTGATGCTGAAGCAACATTTTCAGGAGCTGGGGTTGGGTTGCTGCACGTGCACACTCCTCCAGGACAGGGGGGGCTTTACTGAGCCATGACACCGTCTGAAAACAAATCAGAAAGACAACAAACATTTTTTTAGTTTGTCAAAGCAAACAAAAATGTACTATCCAAATTGTTCACTAGTAGTCGTACATGACACAAGTACAGAAACTGTCTTAAAGCAGTGGTGAAAGAAGCAATAAAATGGGTGCAACATATTGAAAAATTCTTAAAAGCACTCATTTACCTGAGCTAAGTTTGGAACTGGAAGCAGCTGGTCCAGGCGAATCAGAAACTCCCACAGCAGCTTCTCCAGTTCCTGGTCAAACTTTGGGCCATAATCCACAAGAAACTCTTCCTGTTAGATAAGAGAATAAAAATATTAGCAGACCTGCAGACATCAACTGAACAGAGATGAACATCTTTAAGTGTTGCTGTTAAGTAGAAGTGAGGCACTCACCTTAAAGAACCGCTCTCTCTTTGCTGGGTCTGTTAGCAATGTGTGAATGAAAGAGTGGAAACATTCCACTGTTTTCAGAATTTTGACGTCCTTCCTCTGGGAGACAATACAGGAGAAATTACACTTTGTTCATCCTTTTTTGCCCCATAAGACAATCTTGCTACGGACACAAATGTATAAACACTATATATATTTTACTAGTGACAAAGCTGGGAGATATATATCGACATAGTATCCACATTGTGACATGAGGATGTGACATGGTCACAGTAATAGTGATTATTACAATGTCATAGTACATGTTAGATTTAACTGGATGGCTGTCTTATTAAACAGACTTTATACTGAATACATTACTAATAGCTTTTCAGCAAAGACTTGATAACTCCCACTGCTAGTTTAAATACTCTGATGTGACACACTAAGAGCCATCTCTTAAATTTCTGAGTATCACTTGCATCATTGTCTAAAGTCAAACAATACTGCGATGTTTAACTCTCCATTTGCTTCCATTGCTTTATTCTTGGAGGCTGAAATTTAGCATGGAGTGCCAAGGATAATAGAGAATATGCAGTTTTTGCTCGAATAACTAAAAGACTGGGAAATAATCAATCAAATTGTAAAGTCAAGTAGAGGACTTCTTGTTTGGATTAAAAGTCTCCAAACTGTTCAAAGTCAAAAGTGATGTTTCAGAAGTAATGTTAGGTATTGAGTGATTCTGGACTTTGGCCCCAATTTACCACATTAGCAGCTGAAGTGGATGAGGCAGCAGCAGGAACACGGATCCTTTCCAGATGTGCCTCGATCACCTTAACATCAGGCTGCTTAGAACACAACTCCAAGATTAACTGAAACGAAGACGAAAGCTGATTAAACACATGAACATCCGTCAACACCACAAATTACACTGAAACACAGAAACAGAGGAGAAGGATAAAAGGGAGAAGCATCACAGGAGTCACACATCAAAATCTATTTTTTCTTTTCCTTTAACCTCCTGAACCTCAAAACCTGTTGACAGGTTTGAAAGGCATGCCTTCTTTGGTTAAAGCCACTGTTACACTGTTTATCATAGCAACAAACTGTAAAATCAGAGAGACAAAATGGTCTAAATTTTTACCCTCGCATCAACCTTGAATGGGTTATCTGACGTTTAGTTCTTTAAGGGAATGGAACAGCCAAATCTAAGTTTGAAAATGTGATATTTCATCCATTTCGCTTCATTCTACATGTCCCACTCTAAAATTATTTACACCAAATCCTGTAATCAACAAAACAAAAACTAAAAAACAGTGAAAGATAAGGCTTTAAAAAAAGGGCACATGAGCGACCACACTAGGGCTGAACCCGAACATACGAATACCCAAATATTCAGTCGTTGTGGTGGTACCTGGATATTAATTTTGAGATCTGAATATTTGCCCATCGGGATTCAGAGGGGTTAATATATACTCACCCTTGCTCTCAGCCCCAGTGCCAGCTTGCCCTGATGTCTCACGGTGAGCAGCCCAGGGACAGTCTCACAGGCAGATGTCACGAATTCCTCCACAACCCCGTACTGCATCACATCCCTCTGCTTCAGCACTTTCCAGAGAGCTGCAGACACCAGACGCACAGGCGGAGCCAGGAGCTGAAGTGCAGCAAAAGGAAGGCTGGCATCTGCACAAGAAACAGCATTAGATAATAACAAGGGGCTACTCAGTACATTCATCGTGCAGGGGTTGGAAGATTATGCTTCTCTTGTCTCTATAGTTTGGCTCTTCAGTGTTGCACTGCTGGCCTCAAGCCAAACTATTGATGCCAATGCAGCAGGCAGCCATCAGCTGTCAAACACACTGATTGATCTAGTCTGCAGGAGGACATATGTATTTGTGTGCTGGGATGAGGATGTAGCATGAATCCACTGACAGTCTCACCTGCACCAACCTTAAACACAACATTTACCAACTTTCACATTGTTCACTACAATAGACAGTTAATCTTTACATCCTGTTTAAATGCAATCCCAGCTTTTAGCACTTACCGTTTTCCGTTGGCTGTCTTGTTGCCATTCCACTGAAACAAAGTCAGCTTTGCAGACGTTAAGAAATTAGCTTAGCAACATAGACAGACAGATCCTGGAGTTAGCTTCAAAACAAACGCAGAGCTGACAGTGTATTCACGGTTATTTAGGAAATGCTGCTGATACGATGTTTACTAGCTCCGGAAACGGCTGTAGTCATCTGTCGTTAAACATAAGCGACACTATTGTTGTTTCGAATCGCGACAGACAAAGCTAGCACACTTCTATCAAAAGTTCTGCTTCTCGTCCTCCCGCCTTCACTGACATGACAGTAATCGCTCAAATGTTATCTTTAAATGTGCCGAATGGGCGGTGCAACGGAAAAATGAAGACAAAACACTAGCTCAAACAGGAAACTCCGCTCAGTGGCGCGCTCGTATGTTTTTAAACAAGCGCACCCAATCTGATTTCCAGGATATGACGTAGGAAGTCGTTCGTCAATCGGAGCGCCAATGTGTTATGTTTATTTTTCTTTTTTATTAAAAAACAAAAACAGAACCATGAAAACAAACGAAAATATTAGAAAGCGTCAGGTAAATAAATAAGAATAATTGACCTTTTCTTAAGCCATCATTTTATCGAGTAGCTTGTCTGACTGTAACCAGTGAAATGCCCCTTTAAAAACAAGAGTACAAAACAAACGTAAGGATTAACATCAACACAGTTTATGATGCTATATATTCATTTAAAATCTCAAACATCAATCATAGGAACAGCTATAAAAGTAAATATTCTGAAAAGAAAGATGTGTCACACACAAAGCGCCCTTTGTCCTGTTCTGTTCTTTTCTATCTGAATTATCACCAGGTTCAAAGTCCAGCTGATGGGTCAAAAACAAGCAGTGCTGACATTATTACAATTTGTCACACCACAACAGGGGAGAACAAGACACTGACGAGCATGGATACCACATCTTCATTTATCAAGTAAGTGAAGAATTAGTTTAGACTTGTTGATCCAGTTTTAGCTGGTTTTATGATCTCAAAGCACACAGTGCTGCTGTAAGACCTGTGAGATAAAGTATGGTAGAATTAAGCAATTAGGTCAATGATTTAACTTGTGTTCATTATGTATCAGGAGATTTTCAAGTACTGGCCAACTATAATGGTAGAGCTGAGCCAGTAACAGCCTCAGTGAGGAATGAAAAGTGCATTTGTGTTATTTTCAAGTCTAAATGAATAAGAACGGAAAGTTTAAGAAAGAAAGAAAGAAAGAAAGAAGGGAAAGTCCAACTTACTGGGACACGTTATGATGCAATCATTTGTCATATCTGAGCTTTTCCAGCGATGACAAATAAAAATGTTGGTATCTCAGGGTATCAAAGTATGATAATGACCAAGATGAGCTTATTGCATTTAATTTATATATATTTACTTCTCTGTCTTCAGGTCTGTGACCAAGCGAGTGTGGTCCCCACCTCAGCGGCCTTTCAGAGTGTGTTGTCACAACAGAGAAACCAAGAAGGGAGTCACAGCCGGGACCCTGGAGGAGCTGAAGGAGAGGGTGAGAGCGACTATAAATGAGAAATAATGGAATGAAATGAAAGAAAAAATAAACTGATTTGAGTAAAATATGAGATAAAATTTTAGAATAATGTCATAAAAAGTTCAGAAAAAAAGAATGATAAATGGAAATACTAGGAAGTGGAGAATTTGAAATACAAAAATAAATAGCATGTAAAAGATTAAAAAAATAAATAAATCACTAAAGATGAACATTAGCAATTCCCTTTAGAAAAAAAAGCATCAGACTTAATCACAGTAATCATTGTGTTAACAAGTGCTTCTTATCTTAAATCTGAAAATCTAAAACATGATGTCATCCATGAAGCAGCCATAATGATGATCACATGGCGTTAGAGCTGGACTGACTGCCGGGTATCTAAAAGTGGGATTTAATTTCCAGACAGCTTTATATTTCAATCATATGAAGAACTGCTACCAATTTAGAGGGTATTTAAAAATGAATGTGTGTGAGTGTTTGTAAATTTCATAATATTAGCTTCATATTTCTCAGATATTCTATTTAAATTAATTTCTTATTCAAAGGATTGAAATGTTTTTTCCTTGCTTGCCTTAGACATTATGATCAAATACACTTTGTCAGGAGAAGGTATAGATCTCTAAAACTAGTGCAACAACGTGCACAATAGATGTTTTTGTGGAGCTTCACTGAGCACAAATGTCCTAAACCAAACACCATCCAAAAAGCTCATCCACACCTAAAGGACAAATCATTTTACAATTTTCATTTCTGAACTTTCTGCTTCTTGTCTGACTCCAAACTGATTATCTTCATATTATTAATAATTACTGACAGCTGGTGCATATCACTGTGTTTTTAATTGTTCCCTGCTGGCAGGTATGCCAGGCTTTGCTGCTGTCCCTGTCTGCGGTGTCTCTGTCTCTGGTTTGTGAGGAGGATGGCACAGAAGTAGACTCCGATGAGTTTCTCATGACTTTACCTGATAACATCATGCTCATGGGCCTGCAACCCGGACAGACATGGAGGCCACAGGCGGTATGTTTGACCACAGGAGCTAAACATTATTCAGTATACAGCCACCCAGGCCTTTGTTGGTATTCACTGGTTTATGACTCCTACAGAAGGCTTTTTTTGTGTGTAATGACTCCTAGTGACGATTGTCTCTGATCCCCTCCAGGGTGCAGTTGTGCCCAAATATAATGACGAGACCAAGCCTCGGACTGGGAGGGACATCGCTCGCGTCACCTTTGACCTCTACAGGATTAGCCCCAAGGATCTGTTTGGCTCCCTGAGCGTGAAGGCAACGTTTCAAGGCCTGTACTCTGTGAGTGCTGACTTTCAGTGTCTGGGGCCCAAGAAGATCCTCAGGTAAGCCCAGCAAAAGTGTGAGAAAGTCATTTTGTAAGACATAGTTTACATGTTGCTGTACAAATGGGAATAGAAGTCTGAAATTATATACCTAAATAAAAGTGCTAATATAAAACTGAATTGTAAAAAGACTGAAAAGAAGCATCATCAGTAAAAATACTCATGCTGCTCCACTTTTTTTTGTTTGTTTTTCGAAATATTGACTGTTTGCACTTCTTTGGGCCTGAAGCTGTGGTAAATAAAACCATCTGAGGAGTTCAGATTTGAAACGTGTCTTTGGTGAAACTTTAGGAAAAGCCACTGGTTTAGTCTTAAACAGTGCATTGCATGATATATGTTTATTTTGTGTTATTAATATGTAATCTTAAACTGAAAAGTAAAAGCCATATGTCAGCAATAACACTTATCAGTTATCTGTCAGTCTAACCGTAGTTTTTTTTTTTTACTTAGAAGATAACATAAATAATACTTGTGATGGAACATTTCTTGGATAAAAAGGCAATCAATTATTTTAATACAAAAGCGTCTGGCAGTGATCAAATGCTAAACAAGTAAATATTACTTGGGCAGGCTGTTATGCAGCAAACAAAACTCATACTGATAGGACTTTTATCTTGGTTGTGTTTGCAGAGAAGCGCTGCGTGTAGCCTCCACCCTCCTTCAGGCTGCTGGACACCTGCTTATCACCTCCGCCTCCATGATTCGCCGCATCATCGAAGGCGCTGAGCTTTGGCAGCCACAGAGGGCAGAGTACACAGCCACCTGGAAGTAACAAAGCCCTGTTTACACGTAACCTAAAGTCGCAATCATTATTAACGTAATGGTGACTGGTGTATGTAAAACTATTTTGACCATATTTCAGGTTATTAGAATACAAAAGCTTTAATAGCTTCAACTTACTAACAGAATAAGCTGAGTAACGACAATAAGAGCATGAGTGTCATAAATATTAATGTAGTTTTTCTATTTTTGTGCAATATATTCTACAAAATACCCTAGAACGGTCCTATATTTTTGTTAATTTGACGTTGGCGGATGAAATTTTGTTTCTGTGCTCAGAGATGACTGATAACCAAATTGTGTTGGTATGAACTGAAAGAACACTGTCTCTGTTTAAAAAAATGTGATTCTTTAAAACATAGAAAAAAGAGTACTAATTCATTTTGAAATTTATGATGTAAATGATCATTTGACAAGCCAAGTTTATACACTAAAAAAAGTGTTTTATTTAAAGGACAATAAAAACATCTGCACAGCACAAACAGACTCATTGATGTGGAACTGTACCTACACTGTAAATGAGTATCTTTGAGAAACTCGGTACACAAGTGTTAGCAAACTGATTACAGTGATGGTAGAACAGGGAAACCCATCTGAAAAAAACAAGCAAATCCTCTCAGACATCATCTTTGCTCACGTGCCAGCGCATTCACATATTGCTGGTATTTGATGTTGGCCATCGCCTGCTTGTACGTCTTCTGATTCATCCACCAAGGCCTTCCTCTCTTCATGTAGTAGCGCATGTCACCAAACCACTGAACCAAGATGCGACGGGAGATGCCGATCACTTCTGCCAGTCTGTCGTACTGCTCAGGCTCTGGATACTGGCAGTGGGAAAAAAACGCTTTCATCATGTCTACCTGAGACTGAGACTTTGCGGAGGTCTTACGAATATTTCGAGTGGAGGGTGGGCTGTCTTTCAGCAAAGCAGTCTGGTTGGCACCTGGTGGAGAAGCTTTTGAAGTTTGGTTTGGAGGCTGGGGTATGAGCAGAGGTTCCAGTGGCCTTTCAGGCTCCACAAAGCTCTTGCGTGTAGGCCACTCTTGGATGGACGTGAATCTCTTGTCTACTTTCACCTTCTTCTTGTTTTCAACGTAACGTGATGCCTCTGGCTCAGTGCATTTTTGCCCCTCACTCTTACTTTCGTCACTCATTGCTTCTATTTTTCCAGCTCTCTCCATCATACCCTCACTTTCTTCACTTTCTTGCTTGATTCTCTTCTTTCCCAGCTTGTCTGTCACTGCCATCCTTTTACGCTTTTTCAGAATCACTCCTCCCTCCTTTGCACTCTGGTCCTCCCTTACCTCTTTTGCCTTCCTCTCTCCAGAGACCTTTACCTTCCTCTTCTGTAGCTTCATCTTTCTTCTGTCCTCCTTTTCGTTTCCCTTTGTTAGGTTTATTTGCTCATTCTTTCCTGGAGAATTTGTCTTGAACTTCCTCCAGACATCCACGACATCTCTACGGTCCCAGCTGATGCCACACTGGAGCCTCCGTTTCATGAACCACACCTTCACTTGATCTGGATGCAGGGAGCAGCTCTGTGCTAGCTCAGTCATCTGTCTGCGTGTCAGATATGGGAACCTGTCAAAGGCCTTGTTCAGCTCTGCAGCACCGTCCACCTGTTGGTCGATCTGATCTGAGTGCACCCAGATGATCTTCTTACTCTCAGACAGCAGGGGGAGACACACTGCACCGATTTGGTTCATGCTGAAAGCCTGGGAAGCAGTGTTGCTAGCTGATGAAGTCTCTGCAGCAGTGTCAAGTGTGCTTTGTCCAAGGTTGTGGGCCCCTCGGTTAGCAATCTGCTCCATCTAACTCAGCTGTGGTAGTGAGAAGACAAAAACAAAAAGGATTGGAATGTGTATTAATTATCTGAAACACTGTCATGACATTCTTTAGTATTTTGTAAATGAAGCCAGCCTGCAAGTTAATGCTATGCCTGCTTACACTGGGAGAAGGTATATGATATATTTGTCACCTAGTACAGATTTTGGTGATGGTGAACTACGTAGGACTTTAGTGAGGAAGACTTTTCCTAAACTGATCTAGTGAAATACTTCCTAATTAATTCTCTGGATGGGCGTAACGCAGGGGTGTCGAACTCTGGTCCTCGAGGGCCGCAATCCTGCAAGTTTTAGATGTGTCCCTCTTCCAACACACCTGATTCAAATGATCAGCTCGTCATCAAGCTCTGCAGAAGCCTGATAACGAGCCTGATCATTTGAATCAGGTGTGTTGGAAGAGGGAAACATCTAAAACATGCAGGATTGCGGCCCTCGAGGACCAGGATTCGACACCCCTGGCGTAACGGATACATCTACATCTAATTTAGTTGGTTTAAACTACTTCTACAAGCCTGACGACCTCATTACTTCTTAAGATTTCTGGTCCATGGCCCCACTCCAAGGTAATTTCCAATAGAGTGCATACTTGGTCGTTTCATGCCATGTGTTGGAACATTTAAAAAAATGCATGCTGCGTTTTGATATTTGTTCAGTATAATTTAATCAACTACAATAGATGCTCTCACATAGTAAATATATTTTTTTCCTTCAAAGGATACACAAACCCAAAACAGTAATCTAGAAGTCAGTGCAAGTATTTAAATATGCTACTTTACATGATATGCTGTACATGTAAAGAAGAATACCAGCATACAAACCACCTTCTGTTACTTTAATTTGAACTGCAGAATTGAACAAATAACACAAAATGAATTGCAATAGTGTTAAACAAGCTTTATCCGCGGCAAAATTAAGAGTGACGCACTTGCTAAATTTAGCTATTAAACTTCGACGTTAGCTTATATTAATACTTGGCACTTATTGAGCTGAACATATCTAAATTAATCTCCGACAGCATACACATCAATGATCGACTAAACCGCTTACATCTTTGTCAATTTATCAGAAAGTTAGCATTTGTGGTAAGTTTAGCTAGCTTGCTACGCACAATGCTAAGTTCGTGTTAGCTTGCTACGTAGCGAGGTGCTAATGTTGTAAACTTGGAAAATGTAAGCCTTTTCTTTCTAATGGCAGAAAGACGTGGAAATTATCTCTAAGCTTAATTAATGAATGGGGTACCTACCTGTGCAAAAGTGTCCGTAAATGTGGTATTTTGTTCTGCTGCTCGTCTGGACAGATTTAAAGTCATTTGTCACTGGTCACTGTCAAATGATTCAGGAGCCCGAATGTTATGAGTGAACAAAACATGTAAATGAGATACAAAACAATGCCGTGAATTATTTTATTATTAGGCCACTGGTGTCAGCTGAGCATTTAAACTTGGCTACTGCATGCATTTTTAGTTTTATTCAGGTTTTTGGAATTACTTTTTAAATGAATAGTAGTAAGCAGTAGTAGCAGGTATTTTTTTTAAAAATATATATATATAATTTGAAAAATGAAAGGA